GTTATTGATCAGCTCCAAAACATTGGACTTGGACCACTATCCATGGGCCTGATATGTCACAATCTAGTTCAAATGAACTCCCCCAAGCGCACTGCCTTAATTTCTTAACTATTTATTAGTTTACTATGAAATTGAGTACTGTCCAAGCAAAAGAGAAATAAATTAAAGAGGAGAGAAAATGCGAGAGTTTTGTTGAGTTGTGTTAATTTGAATCATAAGCTAGCCAACTTGAAAGTTTAAACTAGACTTAGATTAAAGGGATATGGCTTGCCTTTTACCAAAAGATATATATTTCTCTACTTCCAAAAAAAGACCAAATATTGACCTAATAGCATCTTGTTGGCTGTCCACTGCATTGACACTACTTGTTCATTTCTAACCATTTTTTAGTGGTTGTTGACGGCACAAACTGTGAAAAAAATGGTCTTTTTGGAAAGAAAAAAAATAAACTCTTAAACTAATCTACTCACTAATAAAAAAAGAAATACATGATTATTCTTTTTTTATCAATAAACACATGATTATTCTAAGAATTGAAGAAGCAAATCACAAAACAAAGAGAAAGAAGGAGAGAGGGAAAAGTGAAGAAAGTTATATTAATGGACCGCCAAGGCTAAGCATGGAACAATTAATGAAAGTATATTTATTAGCATATATTCAAAAAAATTAAGAGATTATTGAGTTTGCTTGAAAGAGAGGGCATAAACAAAAGTAACCTTTGAGGAAGCTATTCCTCTTCTTCAAGCCTAGTTTCACTATATTCTAATGTGTTAATGGTGGTTTTAACTCAAAAAGTGATGTAACCAAGACATGCCATGATGAAGTTTCAATATGGAGCTTGATGCTGCTCAATGCAACATGGTTGTTGAATGATGTAGCCATGCTATCAGCAAAAACAGGGAAGGTACTTGTTGGCATTGGTTTATAATGGGATAGTGCAAGAATTACACTCCAAATCATTGATGTTAAGGGAGAGTGCAAGGACAGATGATTAACAGATTATACCTCCCAAGTACAAAATACATACTCTACACTATCCAGCAACATACCCCTATTGAGAAGCTTATCTCAAGTGAAGCACTTCTCTAAAGTTGTTGACCATACAAAGAATTTTACATTAGAGGGACATCTTTAGAAAAATGCTTTGCCTTTGGAAGGGAAAACTATATGTTCATGCTAATTACAAATATATTACGGAAATCTATGATTTAGCTAAGGATAAATGTAGATGGCTTGTGGTATCATTTCCGTTAATAGATGGCTGATTGGCTCATGTGGACAACTTGGGAAGGAACAATAGCTCAGTCAGATGCTAATACCCCATAGGCTGATAAGAGTAAAATAGATAGAAGAATCCAACCAAGGAAGAGTTAACATCTTACTTTAGTTATATTAATAGAAGTTTCTGGTTGGACCCTCTTAYGTTGGTGAAAATCTTGGTGGAAACCTAAGCTTGTTGTTATTTGGTCCACTAGGAAATTAAAAGAGATACAAATAAAGTGATAAGCATTCACCCACCGACAAAAATATAAAACAGCCCCAAAGGTATACCCCTCCCAAATAAAATGCTTTGCCTTTGGAAGGGAAAACTATATGTTCATGCTAATTACAAATATATTACGGAAATCTATGATTTAGCTAAGGATAAATGTAGATGGCTTGTGGTATCATTTCCGTTAATAGATGGCTGATTGGCTCATGTGGACAACTTGGGAAGGAACAATAGCTCAGTCAGATGCTAATACCCCATAGGCTGATAAGAGTAAAATAGATAGAAGAATCCAACCAAGGAAGAGTTAACATCTTACTTTAGTTATATTAATAGAAGTTTCTGGTTGGACCCTCTTACGTTGGTGAAAATCTTGGTGGAAACCTAAGCTTGTTGTTATTTGGTCCACTAGGAAATTAAAAGAGATACAAATAAAGTGATAAGCATTCACCCACCGACAAAAATATAAAACAGCCCCAAAGGTATACCCCTCCCAAATAAAATCCTTGGATACACAAAAAATAAACAAAACACCAAAAACTCTTACAAAATAATTACCCTCTCACCCTCCTTAAAACCAAGCCTTCCCATCAAAATAACAAGTTATGTCTCAGCCCAACAAAACCCAATATCTCCAAACCCTGATAGAACCTACTTTTTTTTTTTTTTTTTGATAATGGGACAGAACCTACTTTGATTGACACTCAACTAAAACTATAGAAAGAACCATGACACATTTTGTATCAGGCCTTTGAAGGAGAAGCTCTTACCTTTTCTTATTAGTCTTTTTTTTTTTTTTTTCTTCACCCTCTTAACAGGACCAACCCCAAAAAGATCCCCCTTCATCCGAGCAAAAACTTTAGAAGTGTTTGTGAAATTACTTTGTAATTGTGGCCTAGGTATGGTGTGGGCACAAACAAGTTTAATGGTAGTTCACAATGGGCGTTGTAGGAACTTGAACCTCAGAACTACTAACTTAAATAGATCATCACTTAGAGAGGTATAACCCCAAAACCCTAAATACAAGTTCTCAATTAGGTGAGATTACCTCAAAGGCAAAGGGCCGGAAGAATGCACAAGCAAGATATTGCCCAAGCCATATGGTTAACCTTGCAAGTGGGGTTAAATCCAGAAAGGATTGACAATAAATCATTGGGAGAAATTGTCAAACAATAGCAGGATAGTGACCTATGAAATTATCCAAAAATGCAAAAAAAAAAGGAATTGATGAATGTGTTTCAAGTTGCTCTATCTTTAATATAGGATGCCAGGAATGAGAAGATTAGCCATTGTAGAAACCCAAAATCAGAACAATTGCTATTGCAAGTTGACTTGTAACTGGAGAGAAGTATCAACAAAGAAAACATCGAAGTTAAGAAAAAACCACTTTACAACACAAAAAATAAAATCAGGAAGGTATAGAAGATAAATTAAACGTAACTTGCTTTAGCTATCCGGCAGTGGTGTTCCATCGTCCATTTAAGACTCTTAATGGTCTTGGTCAGAAAAATGAAACCTAATCTCAAACAAAAATTGAAACTCAAAATTTACCGTTAGGAACTTAGGGGAGAGAGAGAGAGGAACTTACACCTCTGGGTAGTTTGAATAATCCTATAGTGTATTTAGTATCTCTTCTCTTCCAGATTGGGTTGCAATGGTGGTGGATTGAACACGTTATATAAGCAAGGGATAGGAACGAACTAGGATCAGACGAAGGAAAGAAAGGAGAGAGAGGAAGTTTGGGAGGCTCAAAAGAATGGGGGGCAGGGGGAGGAAGGGAGGGAGAGTGAGTTTGAGCGATAGAAATCAGGAGGCTTCAAATAAAAAAGAGGCAAGACAATTTAGAAGAAACCCGCGCAAGTTGCCCGCTCACAATATTTTATTTTTTCGATTTTTTATTTTATCTTACACGGACGAAATAAATCCATCTTCCCCAATGCGGCAATGCTAGTGCTGTAAACAGATCAGATTTAACAAGATTGATCCAACTATTCAACAATAACATTTAAATCCAATTAGATTGAATATCTCATATCCAAAAATCATATTTTTGGCAATTTCAAATATAATTATATAAATTATATATATATAATTAATAAATGCTATAATATAATCAAATTCGGATTTTAATCAAATCGAATGGATTTTAATACAAACCCTTTCCATAAGTGAGGGTGTTCATTGTTATATGTACAGGTGTAAAGTGGGTCGTGTCAGACCGGCATGGCATGGCCCACGGGTGGCCTGCACAAGGTGCAAGCCGTGTCATGCTGGCCCGTGGGCCATCACAAGTCATGCCACCCTCCCCAGTAAAAAGTTTGGGAGTCGGCCCAGTACGGCCCACGACCCAAACCCGTGTCGTGTTGAATTGGTCACCCAATTTTATGAAACCGATAGTAATTCACTAATCACCCAATTATGGTAATTTTTCTAAAACCATTTTTTAACGCCAAGCTGAATTGGTTGTGGGACTAATTTATGAATTTTCAAGTCCAACCAACTAGTTGGTTTTGTTTCTTTAAACAGTTTCATTGGTATTTCAGCTAGGGATACACTTTCCCCACCACCAATGGAGACCCGTGGGGTCTAGGATGGGGACGGAAACGAGATTAATAGAAATCCTTGATTGGGGTTAGGGTCAGGGATGGGGATTGAGGTCCCCACCCCAACCTCGATTATATATGTATATATTAAATGTTATTTATATTAAATATATATTATTATATTATTTATATTATATATATATATATATCAAAATATATCTCAAACATTATTTATAATTTAAATTTTTCATTTTTCTTAAGTAAATTTGTTTTTAAAAAAATACTATTATCTAAAAAATTTTCGAGGATTCGAGTCCCCACGGAGAACCCATCCCCCCCGATGGGAATTGAAAACGGGAATAAGGGTTAATTTCAGAATCAAAGTTTAGGACGGGAAATATAATCCCCGCCCCAAACCCACCATATTGCCATTCCTAATTTCAGCATTGAAATATATATATATATATTTAGGCTTAATTAAATCGGGATTGTGGCGGTCAAGTAACTGAGTTAATACCATTCTTTATTGATATTTGTGACGTAAATTCTATACATCTCTTTAACTACAATTTTTCTGTGAGTGTTGCTAAATTCAATACATTTTATTAGTAACGGTTAGATAACACTTGTTGTCAATATATTGGTTTAGCAACAATGTAAATCAATTGTTGTTAAAAATAGTTTTGGCAACAACCATTTATAACTGTAATCTAACAATTGTTGTTAAGGCTGCGTTTGGAATGAATGTAAATCCCTGTTCAGTGCATTATTGCAATATGTTGGTTTAGCAAATACTTTTGGCAACAACCATTTATAACTGTAATCTAACAATTGTTGCTAAGGCTGCGTTTGGAATGAGTGTAAATCCCTGTTCAGTGCATTATTGCACTCCGGTCCAAAATTCCATGTGTTTGGAAACAGTGTAAAAATACTTCTATTGTCGATGGAAATTTGCAAACATCGGATGATTTACATCGATCTACCKGTGGAAAACTACATCGATTTTTTAAATCACGCCCTCTTTCATCGAGGGAAATAGGAGAGGAGTTTACTCTCTTCCACTGGCACGGTGCTCTGAGCAACGACTATTTTCCGAGCATCACGGCGCTCTGAGTTCGAAGCATCCACCAATAGCCATTTGAGGAGTCCGATCCATTAGCCTCTAAGATCTGAGGAGTTCGATCGAAACGTCTGAACATCAGCGTTTAAGCCTCCGACTGGTGAGAGAACAACGAACCTCTTCTGTCTGTGTTTAAGTCTTGAAATATACACAACAGAGATTAGAGAGAACGACGAACCTCTTCTGTGAACCCAGTGCTGGTGAGAGAACAACGAACCTCTTCTGTGAAGACTTTCTCGTACTACCTGAAAGTAAGAAATAACCTCTTCCCCTATTTTGTGTACTTGCTTTTTTTCGTTTTTGGATTCTCTTGTATTTTCATTTTCTCACTATTATATTGAAGATAAATTGTGTTTTGATGATTGGTATTGGCATTTTCATTTTCAACAATTATTCAGCAAAATCACCATACTTTGCTCTTCGAAATCACAATCATGAGAATCAATGGTGGTTCAGGAAGTCGAAGGAAAGTACCTACTTAATGGAATCTCAGCTGATACTTATCAGTGATAGATATAGAGTATGAACAGAACGCTTAACCTTTATTCATTCACAAATTTTATCTCCAAACATTCCCTCATCCAAATCCCCAACAAAAAGAATGGAAGTACAAGTTTTATGGTTAAAGGAGGAGAATGGACAGTGGGTGGTGATAGTACATGGCTTAGTCATTCCCTCAGCCCAATCTCCCAGTTGACTGTACATTAAGCCCCTTCCCTCTGGGTTCATATTTTCCACTTAATGTGAATTACATCTGAAATTGTATAAGCTTGGCTTTCTCACACTTTCCCCACAATACATGTTATGCCAAAAGAGAAGCAGACATCAGGAGTAAAACAATAGCAATGCCACAAAATGCTTTTTAGGTTTTTGGTTAATACATCTGCTGATTTTGATCGAAACTTCCATATAATTACTCCTACAGTGCCTTTTGTTTTTGGTTAATACATCTGCTGATTTTGTTTTCATATATATCTGATTTTACCATTTAACTTCAATGCTGAGGATTTTCTTTTATTTTTGTTTTAATTATAGATGGTTTGGGGTATGTGAAAATCAAGCTCTTTCTGAGGCATTAAAGTGATTAATGACTGCACAATTGCGTGAGAACCAAGGCTTATCCACAGGGACCCCATAGGAGTCTTTTAACAATGCTGAGTCCTACAAGCTTAATTCTATGCCATTGAGTCCCACAAGCAGCTACTGATGACACCATGAGGCCACTATTCTCCACCTCTTTTTCTACAAACCCATCCAAGTTTGAGTGAATGCTATAGTGGACCAAACCAAGAATGATGCCTCAAGCAGCCCAAAGTTGCCCTATCCAATGATGTTTCAGAGTTCAGACAGCCTAAGCTTGCCCAAGTATGAAAACCTAGCAATGTTTAGATATAGGAAATTATTGAGCAACCACATGTTTCTGAGTCCCTTCTGCTAACTCTTTGAATGGGTTCTATCTAATTCATGCCAATACCAAAAAAAAAAAAAAAGATGGATGTCAAGTGGATTAAAGTCTGATGTCTGACCACTGCTAGTTTGCACTTAGGTGATAAGTGCTTCTAGGATCACTTTACCTGTTTGTATATATAATATTTGCCTTAGATATTGTGCTCTATACATGCTCATATGTGAAGTAATCAATCACATCTACCAAATAAATAAATAAATAAATTAGGCCTCAATCACATCAACAGCTAAGCTGAAATCACAATTTTTGTTATTCATTATTCCCTGATAAAGCTATCTATGTCAATCTCTAAAAGGGGAGCTACTCAGAGGTTGAACCCCTGTTTTTCTTTGCTAGACCTAAGGAATGGTGTGATGGGCTGTGAAGAATGAACTTTCCATTTCTACTTCCTCTCAAGGCTAAGAGACACATGTAGCAGACAAGATATAGGCTGCTAAACACTTGAAAGTTGCTTTTCTGCTTTTAATTGGATTCGGTTTTGACCATGTAAATTGTAATGCAATTCAAAGCATGAGAAGATAGAAATTATCATCTTCTAATCAGTGTTTAACTAACTGATGACCTTGATGCATGCCCTGAACAGCTCATTGGGGTCTGGGTTTTTTATCATTTTGACTGGATCAATGGCCTAGCCATCTGATTGCATGCCCTATTTTACTGCTCTTTGAGTACAGTAAAACAGAAACAACATGTCAGATTTGGGTGGGGGTTGTTAAATGATCCATACTACAATATAGGTCTTGATACATGTTTGTATCATTCACCACACGTCGTAGTTTGAACATCTTCCAATAACATTCACCGAGCTTTGCTTTTATTATTATTATTATGGTAGATAGTGTGGATATTCTAGTAACAAACAGAGCTGCATACATCAAGTTTGAACACGTATCAATGTATTAGAATTTAAAGACACACACACAAGTTTATTTTCTCATATGTCAGGGAGAGGTGGTACAGAGCTGTTTGTTTTGTTATTAGCAGATGTAGATGTAGTCATGTAGATATAGACTTGGCAATAAAATCACCCACAATCCTCTCCCAATCACAATAAATCATGTCTACATGATAGAGGTTGGTACACACTAATATATATTAATTGTGATATTTTGAACCTTGGCTGAACTGAAAAGCTTTGTTGTCTTGTCTTTTGCTAAATAAGTTTTCATGGAGAGGTTGTGGGTTTCTTAATAATTGAAGTTAAAGTTGGATAGATTACTGTACCATTGAATATTTTATCATCTAACTATTAATACTGTACCCTTGAATATTTTATCCACTAAAAGGTACAAGTCAGTAAGTCATTCAATTAAGCAATTTTAGAGAGTATCAGCATACTTATCCTCAAGGCCATTATATTTATATCTGTGCAGTTTTAATACTGGTTTACACCAATTTCTTGAAGGTGTTTTTGTTGCTTGTTCATTTCAAATGGTGTGCTACATTTTGTCTTTAATGTGTACAAGAAATGGAGTCTGGAGCATTCCAGTTAGCTAGGGTATACCATGTCATTCTGAATTTCATTCCATTCTCTCAGCAAAAAGGCCATTACCCAGTGCTGGTCCTGGAGATATACAAGGCCTTGAGAGGGATGGAACTAGGAGTAGGAACAGTCAATCCTAATCTCTAGTTTTATTTATTTTTTTTGTTCTCTTCCTTCTTCTTTCTCACAAAGTTGCTGCCCTTAAATCTGGAACCCCCATTCACATGCTTTTCAGCCCAATATTTTCCAATGTTTTACCATCAGATCAAGCAATAATCAATCCCAAAAATTCCTCAGAAAATAGCCAATTAACAAGGAAAGCTACCTTAAAAATTGAAGATTTTTAACTTAAGGTACTGCCTGTTAAAAGGATAAAATGATCTTCACTTGAATAAGATATAAAAAGTTATAGCAAGAACGGATTTAACTGATACTAAAGCATTCATCTCTGTTTTGAGATGCATTGATGAAGTAGCTGAACAATAAATGAACAGCTGACAAATTCATTACTCATTTTTTAATAATTGTGAGAAGGTTCTGGTCAAGAGGTTGTTGAAATCATGAGATACAGGAAATCGGGTACAGGGTAAAGAGAAAATATAAAATGACTATTAACAAAAAAAAGCATAAGTTAATAAATAAAATGCCTATACAGAGATATTTATTTGGAGTATTTACCAATTCTCAATTCCAGTGGTTTGACTGTCTCGTGTGGTCCAATGTAAGCTTTCGTACAGGTCTACAACATACTTGTATATATCTTGAATTTCGGTAGATTTTTCTGTGGAAATTTCAATGAATATTTTTGTGGAATTTCAGTAGTTTTTTTTGTGGAATTTCAGTAGTTTTTTTTTGTTGAATTTCAATACCCTTTTTATGTGAAATTTCAGTGAATTTTAGTGGAATTTATGTGGAATTTCAATAAATTTCAGTGATATTCATACAAAATTACAAATTGGGATATAAGCGACATAGGTTATTGGGCCAATGACCAGCTTAATATTTATTATATGGCTGGCCTCTGCATGTGGCAAAAGATGTTTAGGACAGATGAGAGATTGTGGCTGATCAATCAATGAACACCGGTTGGTGGGCTTTGTGAGAAAGGCAGGTGAGATTAATTTTCAAAACCGGGTGACACAAGTCTACAAAGTATTTTTACATCGGTTAAGTATCCAAATGATAGCAAAAGCACACACCGTTGTTTTGTATCTCGTGCCAAACATGAAGAGGTGAAATGCAATTTTGCATTTACACTCCTTCCAAACGCAGCCTAAAGGTTAATTTTCTTGTAGTGGCCTATAAAATGTGCAGTATGACTTATGAGATTATGTTAGTAGGGGGGTTGGAATATGTTTTATTGGCAGGTGATCTGGACTCACTCAAGCTCAGATCTGATGCTACACCCAACCCACCAGTCACCAAAACACTAGAGCCAAACATCAGGAACTATCTCGTATTGTGTTCATATGTTTTCATTCATCGAGATTCTCCCGATGTGCTCATATATATGTGTTTAGAACCATGGACATTTTTTTATTAAATGTTTGTATTTGATTTATTTGCAAAATTGAGATAAACAATAATGAACCTGTTTATAAACACTTAGGTGCCATTTAGGGAAACAGTGAATAAATGTCTATCCGTTAGAGAAAGCACTAAAATGAAACTTCCCCTAATAGTAGATGTGCAAATAAATCAATGTTTACTTTTGCAAGTCTCCATACATTTGGTTAATAATCGAATTGGATGCAGAAATCCTATATTAAAATTAGAATCTGATTATATTATAAAGGGTTCTACTAATTAGATACCTGTAACACATCATACCCCAAAAAAATTGTGACGTATCATGTCAACGAATTAGGTGGTATTTTATCATAGATTTTCTCTATTATTTATTTTATGTTAATTTTTTTATTTTTAAAATGAAATAGAATCAGATTTACTCCGAATCCTTTCCTAACCGGTAAGATTTGAGATCTTCTAATCAGATGGGTTTACGGATCGGATTTGTAATTCAATTTTTATTAATCCAATCTGATTTAGATGTTGCTGAATCTAAATTGGTGTTTGGTTCCATTGCAGTTATTTTTAGAAAATCGTGCCACATCGAAGCCACGTCAGATATTTTCAGAATGGCAAAAAACACATTGGTGTATGCTGCTTGGTTATCATCCTATTTTGATTTTTTTTTCAAAACATTTTCAAGTAGGGGTGAATATCCGGCTTATTGGGTTGAAAATCAAATTGAATAAATCAAAATTTTTAAAACTTGCTTAAAAAATAAAATCAAATTAATCAAAACCTAAAAAATCGAACCAAAAAATCAAAACCGAAATTTTTTATTTGATTTTAACCTAATTATGCTCACCCTATTTTCAGGTATGGTGATTAACGTGGCTCAACACAGCAGAGAATATTTTTTTCTTTCTCAAAACATTTTCAGGTATGGTGGTCAATATGGCTCTGACATTGCACTGTTTTATAAGAAAACGACAATGAAACCAAAAACACCATTATGCATTGTTGCTTTCCCAAAAATCACAAAAAATGCAATGCCATTTTTTGAAAAAAAAAAAAAAGGAAAAACACAAAGGACCACCAAAGTTGTTTCCAGCCCTACTTTTTGCCTTCATCCTTTTTCGGCCTGCTCGATCAACAATCAACACTTTATTTGAAACAGTTCTTTATTTTTTTCTCTTACCAACACCATATCAAAAATTATAAAAAGGAAAAAAAAAAGCATTGATCTTCTTATTTGTTCTGCTTTGATTTCTACAAATATGTTGAACATATTGTTTCTTGACTATATAACATTTTGCTTCATATGGTTGCACTTGACATTTTCATAATAAAAATATGAATAAATTATAGATTAGCACCCTGTACTTCAAATATAGTGAGACTTACCCCCCTCCCCCCAACCTTTCAATTGCTCACACTGCCCCCCTGCATTAGGATTCCGTCAGTTTGCTTTGAAAAAAAAATTCTTATCCCATGTGCACCGGCATATGCTTGTTAAACATTTTTAAATCCACAAACTGCTCTTCTCCTTAATTTGTGGGACCATCTTGCCCTTTCCTTAATACCATGTACTATTCACCATCTTCTCCATTGGACACGTCCCCCTCCCCTTTTTCTTCTTCTTAATCCTCATCTTTCCTCCTTCCAGAAGTAGCTGTTGAACATTGCTAGCTATACCGAATAGAGTGTAGACTATAGAGAGCATAGAGATGCATCTAATCATTCTCAAAAGTTGAAAAGCAAAGTCAAATAGTAGACTTGCATCTAACCATTCTCAACCACTTAAATGTTGGAGCGGTAGGCAAACAACATTTTTCTTTTGTCTTGAATTTCAATGGTCAAGTATGAGGGGTGAGCATGGGTCGACAGTTTGGTTTGGTTTCAAGGCAGAACTTAGAATCTATCCAGCTAAGATCGGTTCCAAAGTTGATTCTAGTCTTATTGATTTCAGGGTAAGTTTCAACATCTAACCTCTACCCATAGAACTTTTTTTTCTTTACCTAGCCATCCCTCAAAAATTAGATTGCATTCTTTAAAATTTGATTTTCAATAATAATAATAATAATAATATATAATTCAAAACTTATATTAACTTTATTGATTAAATTGAGTAATTTAATCTGAAAATTGTCATAATATATTAATATATAGTCAAATTTATCATTATAATTGAAATGATCAAATCAATTAAGTGACTCAATAATCATTTGAGACCATGGTTTTTGTAAGTATGAAAGGTATTCTAGGTTTGTTTCTAATACAACCTATTCATTTGCTCACCCCTAATAACTATGAGTAAAAGATAAGGTTGTGTTGGAATAAGCCTCATGTTTTGTGCTTTTAAAGTTCAAAAGCTGAAAGCCTCGATTTCAAACTTTGTGATTTGGGACTTAAATGCTTTTTGTACAATTTTTTTTTTTTTAACAGCAACTCTTAACAAACAATCGAAAAAACTTTGAGGTCAATTTTGTTTTTCACAGTCAAAGCTCAAAAGCAAAAGCTTATATCCAAATGGAGCCTAAGGTGGCGTTTGGTAAATCTGAAAATTCAGATTTGAAAAGTTAAAAAATGTATTAAAAATGTTCTAAATCTGAAAAGAGGCGTAAATGCTTTTCTACTTTTTAGAGGCTCTGAATTCATAAGTTTGTTTGTGTTAGACTATTAGATCAACCTTTTACCATCTGAAATTATTGTTTTTACTATTTTACCCATATTATTTGTAAATGTTGAGTTCAATTTGTATTATCTCATAAAAAATAATTTTCAACCTCAAAATAGTATTGAAACAATACAAATAATAAATAATTAATAACTTACACATATAAAAATAATTAATAATTAATAACTTACACATATAAAAATAAAATAATTTTTAAAAATTAATGAAATAATTAAAAATATTATTTAATAAAAATAATTAATAATTAGTCATGTTTAATAAATAATAAACAATAAATAATGTTTAATAATAATAATAACAATTATTATTATTATTGTTATTATTATTATTATTATTATTGTTATTATTATTATTATTATTATTNTTATTATTATTATTATTATTATTGTTATTATTATTATTATTATTATAGAGAGAGAGAGAGAGCAGCGGAACCACCGCCACTGCAAGTTGCAGAGGCGGTGGCGGTGGCGAGGGGAGAGAGAGCGAGAGAGAGAAAGAGTGAGAGCGAGAGAAAGCGGCGGAACTGCCACCACTGCAACTTGCAGTGGCGGTGGCGGTGGCAGTGGCGAGAAGATATGAGGGAGAGAGAGAGAGCGAGCGAGAAGAGAGAGTGAGAGAGAGAGAGAGGGGGAGTTAGAGAGAGAGAGAGAGAGAGAGAGAGAGAGGGAGAGAGCGGCGGTGGCGAGAAGAGAGGCTGAGTGAGCGAGAGAGAGAGAGAGAGAAGGAACTGCTGCTGCTGCAAGTTACAGTGGCGGTGGCGGAAATACAGAACAGAGTGAGTGTAGCGGCGGTGGTGGCGGACTTGCGGTGGAGCTTCGTAAGTGGCCATGAAAGTTCGATTCAAGTTAAGAACAAAAACATGTAATATTAAAATTTTTTTAATGCATTTATATCTTTTAACGCATCTCCCAATTACGTCTGAACATACAAGTGTGAGGCTATTAACTTAAAATTTCAATTTCAGATCAATTTCCAGACACAATAACAAATGAATCTGACACCAAACCTCTGAAAAAAAAAAGGCAATTTCCTTTAAGGCTTCAACCATTCAACGCATGATTTTCAAAACCAAACCGGACTGGATGGTCGGATTGGAAAAACTGAGAACTGGTCTAGTGACCGGTTCCGTTTTCCCCAGAACCATTAATTTTGGTCAATGAACCGCTGATCCAGTGGTTGGTCAACCATTCGAACGGTTTTGATCATTTTTTATTTTTTTTTTCTCAAAATGAGCCGAGCATTCGATTTGAACGATCAAACCATTTGACCCAGTAACCAAACCCCTAACCGATTTGGTTTTGAAAACCATGCTTCAACGTAAGCCAATCCAGATTTTGCCTTCTCCATAGTCCATACAATGAAAACGGATTACCTAACGGGGATATTTCAATACCAAAAGACAACAGGAAACATTAACAGCAGTTTTTTAATAATAATGGTTATTTATATTATGCATCATAAGATTCATAACCAAATGCCTCCTTACAATTTTGCCCTTACAGTAAAATGTGAGCATTCAAGTTTGTTAAAATTTGAATGGTCCTAACCATTAAAATTTTTCAAAGAAGGCACCCAAGTTGCATCCCTATAAATAGGCTTTGGAGGGTCAGATCTCCATCTTCACCCCAAAGGCCCGAACCTTCACCCCAACACATTCTTTTTTGCAATATATTCTCCACTAATACTATGTTTGGTTTGAAGGAAATGTAGGAAAAGATAGGAAAACCTTTATATTGGTTTATCCATCTTTCCCTTCCTTTCTCTACTTTTTCTTCAAACCAAATATGGCCTAAAATCAATTCATTTACCTTATATTCAACCTTTACTAAAAGTGTACCAATTCTTTATTTCTTCTACCTAACCCAATTTAACAATGTCCACTACACCAATCAATCCCTATCTCCACCACCAATCCTCTGCTTTCATCACTTTTAACTTTTGCTTTAAGAGGCACTAAAATGGTTTATGGACAATTTGGTAATTTTCCATTTATAGATAGCATCACCAGTGGGTCCAATATTGCATGTTGGTAGTTGAAAGTCAAAGTGTTAAAAAGGAGACCAGATCTGCTCCTCACGCAGGGCGCCTCACTCATGCCTTACACGCATATCGTACCATACATTAAAAATATCTACCGTATTTATAGGTTATAGCAKATCCCGTTCCGTTAAAAAGAAGTACAATAGTAGAGCTGGCTTCAGAGCTTGGAGTTTCTTTCTTTCTTTTTTCTGATTCAAATTAAATAGGATAATTATCTACATATTTAATAATAATATACTTTCTAAATAAATATAACTGTTGCAAAATAACTTGCCACGTCAATGCTTTAACATGAACTGGCAAAAATTTTGTTGATGCCTGTGAGGTAGTGCATAAATTTCTGTGCAATAGATGTTTAATGGAAACTTCATTTTGAGGTTTTATAATTTGGGGTCATGGCCTTGAGGTCATCGTCATACATTGAAGATTGGGAAAGTAGAATACTTTTTTGAGTTGTCAACCAGCGCACACAGAGGGTGTTTCTGTTTGTTTTGCTGATTATGCTCAGACGATAAGTTAAAAAAAATAACATCTATGTCAATGGGCAAGAGCTCATCAAAGCACCCCATGTTTTAAAAAACGATTCGGATTTGGTTACTGGTTTCTGAGTAAAAACCGATCAAAAACCATTAAATAGCTGTTTTGGTTATTGGTTCCTGAGTTAACGGTTGATCATTCGGTTCAAATAAATGGTCYGTTATAACAATAAAAATTAAAAAAGCAATAAAAAATCATTAAATAGGTCAATGGTTTGACTATCAGAATCAATGAATCATTAACCGATTCAATGGTTTTTTGTCAAAGACTGGATTTAGGGTAAAATAGAACTGTTTACCTGGGTGGTTCGAAAACCTTGAACCATTGACCGATGGCAGTTTCATCCATGGATTCTATGCAGGAGTTAGTATCGTGATTTTGAACTCAAATGGTGAATTTCTGGCTACTAAAGTTGATAGTGTTTTGCCTTGCTCAGCTCTTTTCTCTGAAGCCACTGTAATTTTGCATGCAATTTGTCTCACCTATGGTTTTTAAAATTGACCCGGAGACCGAACTGGTCAGGGGTCTGGTTACTGGATTGAACGATCAGCCCATTCTAACAAAAAAAAAAAAAACCAATCAAAACCGTTCGAACAATTAACCACCCGGATCAGCGACTTACTGATCAAAATTAACAGTTTTTATGAAAAATCCGATTTTAGGGAATTCGGTCGGACAGGTGGTCAACACTCTAAATCTTGGGCTGTACTATGACTATCCAATGAAAGCTATTCTCTGTTTCAAGAGATCAAAGATGAACTGACAAGGTTTAATCTCTTTAGCAGGAAATTTGTTAGGTGCTCAAGCAACTCTATTGCTCATTTTCTAGCTAGCAGAAACTGTACAAATTGCCCACAGGGGTTGCTTTCTCAGTTTAATTTCCCCTCATGTATCCAGAACTCCTTTTCAGATTTAATGGATTAACTTCAGTTATTACCCAAAAAAATGTTTCATTTTTCACTTCATTTRCACTGTAAACAAGAAAATAAGAAATAAAATTTAAAACAAAAAGTAAATTAGAATTCGCATTCTCATATTTTGCATTAATACAAATGAAATCGTATTTCAAACAAAATAGGCCTTAAGGAATCTAAGACAGCAGCCAAGCCCATTGCCTTTTTTGATTAATCATTTTGTAAAAGCCAAGACAATTTCCACTTGCATTCAAATATTGGATATTAATATTAAATAATTAATTAAAAAATAAAATCGACTATTCTATTAGACTTTAAACTTGTGATTCTTTAGTAGAATTGGTGTATTTTACGACACAATCATGTTCTGCATGAACTCTTATTTCTTTTTACCAAATAAATAACAGAACGTGAGACCTAATATATTTTACCAATTCCTAGATGGTTCATGTTGATGGTGGACTCGAGTCCGACCCACAAAAACCCACCCGCCCGTCCATAGGTATGCCCCCTCCCCCGGCCCAGGTTCACTCATTCTAAGTTACCTACTATAACTGATCAGAAAGCTGTTGGGACTTGGGTGATAGGAATCCATCTGAACAAGCATTTTGTATTTGCAGCCAGAGATTTTGCCTTCCTAATTGTTTGTCTAAGCAGAAAGTGGAAAACGCGGGCTTGATGCAATGTAAAATTTTCAAATAAGGTATCCAAATTGCACCTCTATAGATAGACGTTTTTTTTGTATGCGATGTTATGCACCATTAATAACTTTCTCCTGACTCTTTTTCTCCAAAGTGTTGCAGAATTTGATTCCACTTTAAAAACAAACTAGCTAACACACCAATGAGCCAGCCCTCGTTTGATCTATAGATAGACCTAAGAGGAGGCTTGGATCTCCCACTTTACCCCACCTTCCCCAATACATTCTTCGTTGCTTCTACCTATCCCAATTTAATAATGCCCTCTACAACAACAATCAATCCCCGTCACCACCACCAATCCTATCATTTCATCTCTTTTCATTTTCGCTTTAATAGTTTATGGACAACTTCGTAATTTTTCATTTTTTGGATAACATCACTAGCAGGTGCAAATGTTCAATATTAAAAAAAAAAAAAAAAGTATAATAGGCCAAGTACTATAATCTTATAGTTAAAGGGAGGTCCCTATAGAAAGTTGATCAAACTGTGGTAAGATTAAAATGACCCTATTAGTACAAAAAAAATTATTTTTTTATAAAATTATCTCATTTACCTATTAATATTGTTAAATAAAAGAATATGAATAAATACATTTATTCAAATAAATATATTTGTTTGACTAAAGAATAAGGATTAAATATGGTAGAACCGGCTTCAAAGCTTGGAGTTCTTTTTTAGTTTTTTTTTTTTTTTTTCCTTGGAGAGGGACTAGATGAAAAAGGCTCAATTCAAACTAAATAGGATAATTATCCACATATTTAATAATAAAATGTTTCTAAACAGCATTGTTGAAAAATAACTTACCACATCAATTTTTTTAACATGAACCGGTAAAAAAAAAGTTTGTTGATGCTTGTGCATACATTAAAAAATGAAAAAAAAATGCAATTGAATGTAGTTCATAGATTTCTGTGCAAGAGGTGATTAATGGAAACTTCATTTTTATGTTTTAGTGTTTTATAATTGGGGGATTGTCGCTTTGAGGTGATACATTGAAAAATGGAAAAGCATAACACTTTTTTTAAGTTAAAACAACAATAACAATAATAATAACAATAATAATAATAATAATAATAATAATAATAATAATAATAATAATAATAATAATAATAAATGTGTAGGTAGTACATTTTTCTAACAAACAAACTAGCTTACAACATTGTATAATGGGGGAGAGGGTGTTATTTTTCTGATAACGCTTTTGCAATGCAATTTAATTCACTTTTGCTCCGTGTTTGACATCACTTTGCTTTAAATTTTAAAACAGAAATTTACATTCCCACATTTTACACCAGTACAATTGATTTTGTGTATCAAATAAACTAGGCTATGACGGTGTTTTTTTTTTTATTTCTTGGTAGAATATTGGTTAGTTGTTTAATTTAACAGTAAAATCAACTAAAATATTAAATGACTGAAAAAAATGAATTCTAAACTTTCAACTTGTGGATTGTTTAGTTGTATTGATGCATTTTACGACATGACCATGTTCGAGCATGAACCTTTATTTCTTTTCCCAAAATCCAAAAAATATATAAAATAAAACTATATTTCTAAACCTTTTTTCAACAATCCCTAGACGGTTCACGCTGATGGTGGNTTGACCCATTTACACTCTACTTATGTATGCTCTTTGTTTTGGTACTTTTGGAGTGAATGAAAGTCAGCAAGAAGCATTTTTCAGTGCATCCCATCTGACAAACAGAGAGACAATATAAAAAAAGGAAAGAAGAAAAAGCTCCCCCCGAGTTCCTCGCCGTACCAACAACAAATAAAAAAACCCACTTTGCCCCAATTCTCTCTCCTAGGCCCAATCCACTAATCCAGTGTGATTGTGTGAACTCAAGAACAAGAAGAAGAAAGCAACTCAGTGCTCACTGCTAACTGTATCTGTGTATGCCCACCACCATCACCTACTTTTTCTTTCACTTCGCAATAATTCAACTCTTTCAATCAATCTCCATCACATCCTCCACAACTTTCAAACACAAAGCCCGCTCTCTCTCTCTCTCGCTCTCGCTTTTCCCTCTTCTCTTTTATTCAAATTTCTCTTTTTTCCATTGCTTTTTTTCTGTTGCTGTTGCTGATTGCAAGTAGTGGTTTCAGTGATTTCTTTTTCCTTTTATTCAAATTTGGTTTTCTCTTCCATTCTCGACACTATTCCCATCTCCATTAATGAAGACTTCCTGCTCATCATCCTCTACCTCTTCCTTTGATGGAAACTTGGGTAATTCCCACAATGCCACCGTCGGTTGTCTCTCTACCATCGTCCGGCGCCTCCTCTGCTTTGGTGGTCTCCCTACTCACCCCGCCGATCACCTTAAAGAACCAGACTGCATCAAGCTGGATCACGGGCCAACCTCCAAGGAGACGGAGGAAAAGAGTGAGGTTCCCACGGCAACTCCAGGCATAGTGGCTAGGCTAATGGGTCTTGAATCATTGCCGGCGAAGACTCCAGATTCAATTGGCCGAAGTAGGTCTGCAAACTCTGCAGAGTACTGGCCAGAATTTGAGAAGCCACAGGGACGGCATCGACGCGTAAGGACTTCTCTGTCGTTTCGCGAAGCCTCCACGTTCTTACAGCTGGAGAACGAAGATTTCCTTCTCCTCAGCTTTGAGAATGTGAGAGAAACTAATGAGCTGAGATGTAAGGGAAGGAAGTGCGAGACGGGTTTCGGAGAATTGAAGCAGAGGAAAACAGAGATGAGTAGAAACAATAACAAGGAGAACAGAAAAGAGAGAATCGAGGAGAAGAAGAACAAAACGAACAAGGAAGATAAAGAAAACAGGAAGAGGGTTCACAGCGAAAAGGAGAAGCCGGAGAGAAGGATCTCCGACAGACGGCCTTTGCGTGAGGTTAGCAATCGTTGCGATATCAAGGATCAGGGTTCAACAAAGCTTCCTCAGAAGAAGGATGCTCACACAAACCAGAATGCACTTAGGAAGACAGGAAGTCCACCGAAGCCTACTAAACACAAAGACGTCTCTGAGAAAGCAAAACTTGCCAAGAAAAAGAAGAGCAACAACAATGCCTCTTCAACCAAGAAAGTTGAAACCGAGTGCAACTCGGAAAATTCAAGCCCAGTTTCTGTTCTTGATCTCACTAGCTTTCTAGTTGACTCTGAAACTCCTTTATCAGGTTCTTCTTGATTCAAAACATTTACAGTGTTCAAGAGTTTTCAAATTCAACAGTTTCTCATTCTAACATTCTCCATTCTTTAAATGTTTTCATAGCAGAAGAAGAATCGAAGCCAAAAGGTTCAACTTCAAGAAGGAAACTATCGCCAGAGCTAGCCAAGTCCGAAGGTCCATCTCCACTTTTTGCTCGTATTACGAGCTTGGATGATTGGGAATCAAATTCATTTGACACAAAAGCAATCAAGGAAACAAGCAAGGAGGATGATCAGGCCCACTTAGAGTGGTGGGGAGAGATTTGCCATTTAACAGATCAAGACATTAAAACCTCAAGTTGGGTTTCAAGAGAGGTGTCAACGTTGGAAGAATTCGATGAGATCAGGATTGAATTCAGCGTACAAATCCTCGACCAACTTCTACACGAGATTATAGACGAATTTGCGATATTTCCTTCCACGAATTTACTGTACAATTGTGTATAAATTCTGCAAACTCTCTCACTGTACTGTATTTTTACTTCTTCCCCTGTTAAGACAATGTGAACTCGAGTTCCCTGAGACTTCAGAGATCCATGGCAGTGTGCATTGTAAGTTGAAATAATAATAATAAAAAAAGAAATATTCTCAAATGGAGTACAGCCATATAAAGAACAAAAATATAGCTTTTTTTTTTTTAATTCAAACAACGATTTATTAGTTTGAAGTTTGAAGTTTGAAGCATTCATTTAAAAACCGAGCTGGACGTTGACCCAGAGTCTGCCTGTCTGAGGCTGGATGGCGGGTTGCACGGTTCAACAGGGTATCGTTTAGTGAAACGACTAAAACCTTCAAAAGTAGGACCGAATTAATTGTCCGGTGACTGTCACTGGGAAGAAGGATCAAACAACCGGGTGAAAAAACTCATTTGCATAACCGGGAATTTGTTAACGGCTGAAGTGGATGGAATGAAAAGGTCCGTTTAGTTTGTTGGAATAGAGATTCTAAATTGAAATTGAAATGATTCATTCCGATTCTAAACTATTTGGTTTGGTTGAGTAGAATCAGAATCCCATTTCTATTATTGTGAAATGGCCATTCCCTCCCCTTCACCTGCGAATGAAAATCTATTCCAGCCAATTCTAATTCTGAGAAATTCCGATTTCGACTGTAAACTAAATGGACTCTTATTATTTTGTATTTTTTAGGCTGCAAATATTTCAACAGAAATTATTTTTTGTTTTTGTTGTAAATCTCCACAAAAAAACTAAAGAAAGGCTCAGTTTGGAAGTTGTAAAAACTTCCCTTCCGTTAATGGCATAATGCTTTAAATATTTTAGATCCCACTTTGAACATTGTTGAGATGTGCAATTACTGAATCACCCCATTAAGTTTAATGTAAATAGATTATTATATTAATATTAGTTTATTTACCCTTTTAAGGGCAATTCAGTAAATATCCATCTCATAAAATTTTGTCAGATTTTAGCAAGTGAGTTCTTGCTGAATTCACATTTGCGCCCAACAACATATCCCACCCATGCCCACTGACAACTTCGGGGGACCTTAATTAAAGGCATTTCATCTTCTCTTTCATGTGTAAAATTAATATCTTGATTTATAAAAAATATGGCAGGTAGAAGGAAGTGGAGCCAGAGCAAAAAGAAAAAGAGAAAGATGTACGTACATGGTTGAATGTTTTTGGCATCATCATCCGAGCAAGAGTAAAATATTTTTGTTTACTAAAACTGTTCATGGAATTAATTAATATCTTCTCAAACCCACATACGCAAGTTTCCATATATACCTCTCTCTTGGGAAACCTTGTCCTTTGTAAAATAGTAAGTGACCCTTTAAATTATAATTGGTTTGCAGAAAATAGGAAAATACATTACATTAAATTAATTCATCAATTTTGGAAAGCGAAAGGATTCCTTTTCTTCAACAAGAATGCGAGATTGCATTCAATATTGGAGCTGCGAAGCCAGTTATCATTCCATGAACCCACGGCCCACCCAATGGTCCCCTTCTCAGGTTAGGCCCGGCCAAACCCATGCCCGTTTCTCAGTCATGCTGGGCCTCAGTGTAAAAAATACATACAAAATAATATAAAATATAAGCTTTGGCATTCGTATTTATATTCAGGCTCAGTAAATGTAAATATGTACAAAAATACTCTACATATTTATATTTATACTCCTTCCAAACTCAGCATTGGAGGAAAACATGAACCATGAGAACGAACAATGGGAGACCAAGAGGATCCCCTATATGACATTCTTCACCCATTGGATTGGCCACAGGATTCCTCCATTCTTTATCCATTGTCCACTAAACACTGGTTTCAACTTTCAACCTTAAAGCCAACTCCTCAGATCTCTGAAATAGAATGTACCCTTTGTAGTAGCATATTTGCTTATACCAATCAACTAAAATACAAAGCTAGTATATTCTAAAAAGGAGAAACATATATTTTAAAATTTTAGGAGAATATGCAAAATAATTGGAATAAAAAGGTTTAAAAGTAGATCCATATATATATATATATATATATATAATTCAAGTTTGTTTGTAAAGAGCATGTTTGCTAGTTGAGTCATTTAAGGCTGCATTTGTTTTGAGGTGTAAATTCAAATTTTACACCAAGGAAAAAATGAACCGATTTAGTGATCTGTGGGAATTAAAATCAGTTGATTTTGAAAATTTACACCTTGTTTGGTTGTTTAGGGTGTAAAAAAATTTACTGCTGCTGCTTTTCGCATAAAAACTGGGTCTCAACAGAGCAACAGCCACTGCATCCGTGATGAAGTTTTGGCTCCGTAGGTGTATGTCTGAATTTACCTGATGTACAAGAAACAGAATGAAATCCCCCCATTCATGCATTGATCTGTACATCCATCGTTGTTGTGCATCAGTGATAAAGTTTTGTCTCCACAGGTATGTCTGAGTTTACCTGATGTGATCGATCCCTGAAGCCTGATGAACTACCGATGCAAATGTCCAACTGAAAAAGCTGGTTCATGGATCACCCTAGTCCCATTTAATGAGCCCTCCAAACAGGAAATGCTGCATGATGGGGACCTTTTCATGGCCCATGCCGTAGTCGATGCGGCTCGAATTACCGAAACTATCGGTGAAGTATGGAATAAGCTCGAGGGTGGCAGATCGGAGATTGTCGAGGAGAAATTGAAGCATCAAGGATTCAGCACTTTCGGTCATACGTTCATGCCAATCCCGATAAGAGTAGTTACCATATCAGGAGGACCTTTGCACTGGTGGGATCTCCTCAACCCAACGGAGAAGTGTTTCGAGGAGGGTGACGATGGAATTTACAATTTGAGATTGGTGGAAATGTGGTGGTGGATGGACTCACTAAGGGCGACGACAAAGCCCAAGAAGTTCTTGCTGGAAAGAGAGTCGTGGAAGCAGCAAATATCATTTGGGTTGGTTATCTGCTTGGTAGGAACTGGAAGGAGTAAGGAGGAGAGACGGCACCGTGGGTAACGGCGGCACTAGTGGGGATGCCGTGATCGATTCTGGCACCGTGATCTGGGCCTTAGACAACCAGGGTAACGGCAGCGCCGTGATCGACTCCGGCACCACACTACCTTCCTCGCGGAGCCAGCTTACCGTCAGGTTCTAACAGCGATAAAAAAGAGTCAGATTACCGAGAACGGCCGACCCATCTTCGAGCCTGGAGAACTCGCCGGTTGGGGATGCCACCGTCACACTGGTGGGGGATGTCGCCGTCGCATTGGTTCTCTCTTCTTGGTTCAAACGAAGACATACAGTGTTGGACAGAAGAGACGCGAGGTAACCGTTGGACAGATGAAAGTAGATTTACATCTATTTTATCTGATGAAGTAAGATTTGGCCCGACCTCGCAATCACGCCACATGGCAAAAAACAAGTAGCTCGGCACTTAAAGCAACGTACCCAAGGTGCAAACACCAAAGGGAAGAAACCAGCAGTCCGAACTCCCCTCGAGGAGACCGAACTCCCTTCGAGGAGCCCGAACTCCCTACGAGGAGCCCGACCTCCCTACTAAGAGCTCGAACTCCCTACGAGGAGTCCGAACTCTCCCTTTAACCCCGAGCCACATAAAGCAGTGACCCGAACTGGCCCGCCTCATGAAAGTTAAAGACACTCCCCTATCCGAACTCAAGACTTCGCCTCGCACACCGCTCCAGCACTTCGCCTCCAGAACATCGTACCTGACACCGAAGGAGTCCATATCCAGGGGCAGCGCACCTGACCGACTTGGGATCTAACGCTTGACAGCCGCACTTCAACGGCCACCTGCCACCGCCATCTCTAGTTACAGAGACGGCTCCRACAAAAAGAGCAGTGGCGGTTCTGCCCCAGCAGAGGTGATGACACCCGAACTGGCAGAAGCACGGAAGTAATCATACCCGACCTGACAGAAGCCTATGAGTGAGTGCGCGAGGTGGTTATAAAAGGCTCTCTACCCCCCAAGAACAGGGTATGCAAACTTTGCGCTATCTGGTTTTATCTCGCCTTTGAAGGATTCTAACTTGAGCTTCGGAGCCATTACACCGGGTTCCCCCCGGAGCTTCCTCATCTTCTCCGTTTCAGGTTCCCTGCTGTTGAGTTCAGAGGCAAGGTCGTTGATAGCTAAGACCAGCCGGATTGCGCACCATCAATTGGCGCCGTTCGTGGGATCACTTCAAAAAGCCTCCCTCCAAACTCTCATAACCTCTTTCCTTCAAAAAAAAAACCCAACACTTATGGCTTCTTCCAGCAACGCCGGACGTGGCACGGAGACAAACACCACCGGGGAACAACTTCAAGTCCCCGTGGTGTGCGTCGGACAGTTCACCATCCCCCTCTCGGTGGATGGGATCCCCAGCTTGAATGCACCACAAGCAGTGGCGCCCGTAAACCTTCCTACCATGAGCATCCCCTTTCCTCCCCCTATTGAGACAACCTTCACTGAACCAACTGCCGTCCCCCTGGCAGCCAGCCAAAACTAGTTGGACGACTTGATGCAGTGCATACAGGCAATGCAAGGCCAAATGCAACAGTTCCAGCTTCATCAGCACCAAGTACTGCACAATATCTCCCAGTATCACTATCAACAGCAGTTCCCCCAACTGCCGCTGAACCAACCACCACTTCCACCTCGGCACCCTGCTCCGAGGCCGGTTAAGTCCTCCCCACAAGATGGATGCCCCCACCAGGGAAAGGCCTCCCGGCCCCAGAACCCCCCTAACAGCCAGGCCTCGTCCCCAGTCCGAAGAGAGAAAAATCATCCCCGCCTCGCAGCTCGCAGGCGGGTTAGGAAGCTCGCCCGCAAGATCGGCACCTCGGCGCTCCAAGCCCGAGTTCCCGCTCACGGAAAACCGGTTCGGCGCCCTGGCAGCAGACTACCAGCATTCCGGGCCCATCGAGCTCGGCAACACAGAGGCCAGTAGCGCCAGTACCAGGCCCACTCAACAACGAAGGCGTCGGCGAAGTCGCCGAACTGCCACCCGTGTCCTGTCAGAGCTCAGAGGCAAGGAAAAGACGAGCTCGGATGAGGTAGGAGCTGCCCCGATTCTCTCAGTTTCTTTCCCCCTTGCATCAGAACTCCTGGCGGTCCCCATGCCCAGGGATTTCAAGCTCCCA